TATTTCCAACAACTCCTAAATTGTCACTGTCAAAATTTTTTAAGAAATCTGTTTAACAAACTTTCTTGTTTGATTTTAGTAAAATCTACTACAACTTTAGTCATAAGTCATAGTTGTCTGTTTGTTATAAGAATTCCATAGTCTTGTCAAACCGTAACAAATACTTAATACTTCTGGTGCGTACAAAGCAGAAGTTCTCAAACAAAAAATTCTGTTTTGTTAAACTTGAAAAGGAGATGTTTAATGAAACAGATGAAATGTAAATTTTAAGTTAGTGTTATGTTAAATTTTCAGAATACCTTACTAATGGAAAAACGCATTAAGATTATATAAGTGGACGGTGGAAACTGTTTCTTCGATTTTGCATTTCGCCTGCAACAAAACATAACTGTTTGATAATCTCTGCCAAATTTCGGGTTTCACTCCGACAGGTGGAGCCATGCTAGAAGGAGACATGGTATAGGCATCCGATGTACCAATTTAAAAATCGTCTGTGCATCCATTTGTGACGTCAGGTGGCATCAACGACCTTGTCAGCTTCGCTAGGGAAGTCTAGGAAATTTCAGCTTGAGTTGTCATCGCTCTGTCAAATACGTCAATTAATTGGCTAACGAAAGTTAATGAAATTAATAATGATAAAAATCTAATTATTGAAAGTTGAACGGTCCAAAAATGTGGTTTCGTATCAATTTCGATAAATGTGGGACATCAGCAATTGCAAATACCAATTTGCTCTTATCACTTGAGTGTTGAAAAGAGGTTTTTGACATATTTATGCTCAGATCTCTCCACAAACCTAAATTCTGCGATCACATCGCACATACGACTGCAACAACTGAATAATCACAAATAAATTTTTGTAATTTAAAGAATGTATTTTAAATTTCGCGTTAATTTGATGCCACTGACGTCACACCCGATGCGTATGCCTGTCTCCTTCTACCATGGGCGGAGCTATGTGTTTTCTCTCTCGCACATCCGCTTAAGTTAAAATGAGATAGCGATTTGTTGTTCTTGTTTCTCACAGCATAACGCAAAGTATCGGTGGTGGAAAAAAGAGAGAATGAGTTTTTTCTACCGCCCACGTTTTTTGGTTTTCTAATAGAGCTAATTAACGCACGCAAATGACGTCACAGCAGTTCGTTAATAGCGGAAAGGCGTTCTTTAATAGATCTGGTGTAATTTAGATCGGTAAGATTGGTAGCAATGACGAGAAATGTGAGGTGAATGTCAGTGGCAAATCTAAACTTAAAATTTCCCACGTTTCCGGACGCGTAACTTCTTCGAAAGACGTTTTAACCAATTTTAAATTACGAAAACTCGAATTGATTCGAATTACAATTGTTGTTGTGAAAATTCGAACCTCAAATATTTCGTGGTTAGTGTCAGACCAACCCATCACCAACCACGACAAAAGTCCCCAGATTAAAAAAATTTCAAATTTTAATTAAATTTTGGGAAAAAACGTGTGCGGTAGAAAAAATAGTATAAATAACTCGTTCATAAGGCCATTGAGGCACTCATCCTTTATATAACTCGCGGCTTCGCCGCTCGTTCTATAAACTTGGATTCGTGCCTCAATATTTGCCTTATGAAACTCGTTCTTTAATATACTATTACGATATCCTGTAAAAATTAATTTTAATCCATAGCCGTACACAGTTTTCGCAGAGCGCTCGAGGTCTAGCGCTCGCTCGAGATTTTCCTCTGTAAAACGTGTTCTTTTGGGGGTTAATAAGTCTTTCAATTTAGAACATGAACGATCCACGTCACAACTGGTTATGGAACCGTAATTAAAAAATGGGAGCAAATTTTCACATGTGTTTTGTTCTAATGTTTGGCTCTGTCATGCCGTCGCAAAACTGATGCAAAGTGTTTAAACCGGGAGTGCACTAAAAACAGACTCTACTTTCACTTTTAACTTCTTCCCAAATTCACCTGGAAGCCTTTTAAATTGGGTCACAATACTTTGAAATTTTGATAAAACATCATGCAACTTTGACGATTTAGTGCAATGTTAAATATTATAAAAAAATAATATAAAATGCTGCTTCTATTAAAAATGGGATAAAACAATCTAAATAATATTCGTAAAAATGAAAAGTATACTGAAAAACCTCTACACAAATATATATAAGTAAATAAAAAGAAACTAAAATGTTAAACACATTTTTGTTACTAATTTGCTATTTTACAAATGAATACTGCGCCAACTGCGCCACTTCCAAGCGCTTAATGTGCAAGGAGTACTCGACGCCTATGTACAGGTGCGTAGTGCACCTGAAAAACAAGCGATAAGACTGCGATCCAAATGCAGTGTAGTCGGCCGACGAATTGATCGACACCGTGCCGCGCTGGTCATGAGTATACATGTGGTGGTCCGTACAGTTCTTGATTCCAAGGTCGCCGCTCTCTGATTATAAGAAATTGAGTTTTTTTAGATGTTATCTAGTCTATGTATTGTCTTCAATGGAGAATATATTTTTTTTATACAAACATTATTAAAAGTAGACTTTTTGACGTTTATCATAAAACGCTAAAAGAAAGTGAATGCTTCTAAAAACTTACGCAAGGTTTTGTTTGTAACTAACAACAAACTGACAGTTTCAGTGAATTATTGAATTTTTTCACATTTACTCCGATGTTGTTCATTTCGTTTCTAAATTAATAATAATTAAGCGTTTTTGTTGCTTTTTAGAGTGTTTGTATAAAAAATTGTGTAAAAGTGATTTTATTTTGTTCGTTCGTTCCTCAAACTTCCGCACTCAGAAAATAAAATTTCACTTTTAATAGTTACACCATAATTAACTATTAATCGTCATTTTTAATTTTTGAATGAAATAACTAAATTTTGCCTAGAGATGAGGGATACCGTCATTTTGCGATCAGGGTGATTACTGATCACAATGACCGTTCCTTTCCAGTAATAGTGATTTTAAAAATTTTAGCCGGTGATTATGGTCAGATAATCAGTAATCAAATCATGTTTTCAACGGTATGCGATGAAAATAGTTGCTCAATACTTGGATCACGGCGCCGGCGTGAACATGGACTGTTCTTTTTTATGTTGGATTTATAGTTTGACGGAACCGTACCCGTTGTCGTAACAGTTGCAGTTGTACTTAGTACGCCAATAGTATATTATGATACGAGTTTTATATGAAGCATTTTGTCGCACGCACGGGTTTAGGGCAACAAAACTAGGAAATTTCGATTTCGAAATCTAGGGAATTTTACGAGAGTTGGCAAGATTTGCAGAATATAAGAAGGGCGGCTATGAAAAAGGATAAGAGACAGTTACAACCATAGAATAGTATATTATTAGCCAAGGTTGCAGAGCCAAGCATTCTAGACCACAGCATAGATAACAATCAGTAGGGACGGCTCGCCGTTTTTCGTGACCCGTTTTCGTTGGTGGTCGTTCGCTTTATGACCGAATGAGGGCGCCCAACTGACGTCTAAAATATTTGAAATTTGGCAGTTTTGTTACAATATTTTTGCCGGTTTTGCTTGTTTAAGACTGCTTTTCCAGTAGAATTGTACAAATAGTATAAAAATGCAATTTTCACAATAAAAGGTAAAATCTTCGTCCGATGAATTTTCATACAGGATCCTTGTTGTGCGCCTGCCTTATTCTCTCCCTCGTGTTTGGAATTCTTGGAAAAGATAGTAAACATAACACACTTTTTGTTTAAAAAGTCGTCGCAAACGAACAACAACGGTGGTTATGAAATAAATATAAAAAATTTATTATATATGATTCCGTTGTTGTGGTAAAATTTAATATAAAAGTAATAAGAAACAAACTACACGTAACAAAAAATTATATAAGCAGACCTTCACTCAATAAACAATTTTTTTATTCATCATGTATATATATTTTTTTTTTTTGACCTACACAATCTTGAGTTTTATTTTGAGACGTTGCTTAACCCATAAGCAGTCGCGCGTGGGTAAAAATGACCCAAGCCGTACATTTTGTCAAATATCTTTTTTCGCTTAATCCCTATGGACTTCCGGTTTCATGAATTCCTTAATTATTCTTACCTGCGTCGACCCATACCAATTACCTGCACTTTATGCGAGTCGACAAATATGTATTTTTTTTGTAATATTTTTTTGAAATTTTAAATGAAGTGATACTTTTTAAATTGGGTGGCGACATCTAGGAATAGTTTAGGCAACGACCATCCATGACGGCTTAAAATTCGGGTCAGAAAGAACAAAGGCGCCGACACGAGCTGTCCCTACTGATTGTTATCTATGCTGTGTTCTAGACCGAGCGCAAATTAGAACCCGAGACGCGCAGCGTCGAGGGCTCTGAAGCGCGAGGTCTAGAAGTGGCTTTGCAACCGTGGTTAATATACTATTTTTTTTCTCTAGTAGAAACCATAAGACAATAAACTGAAAAAATAAACGTTCAATTTTTTGACGCAACATGATTTTGTTTTGATTTCTAATCAAACTTAATCTAGATCTTTAACACAAAGAAAACTGTTTATACTTGTCGCTGAGTTAATCATTTTATCTTCTACCGTCTACCAACTACTATACGTATACTCAAGTAATGTTTGTAGCACACATTTGTTCATTTTTTAACCCTCGGATGCCCAAGCTATTTTTTTTTACATAGACACCCAAGCTGGGTCAAATTTGACCCACCCTAATTTTGCTTTAGATTTTATTATTTCAAGTTCCAATTGCCTATTTATTGTGTATTAATGAAAGAAAGGTCACAAAACAAAAGTTTTTGTCATTAATATCAATAAAAGAAGTATTTGTTTATAAAAAACAACAGTTAGGATTTAAGACAACACACCAATTAAACCCTTAAAATTCGATAGTTTTATTGTGTACAGTTTTGGTAGATTTTTAACACATCAATTGTTACTTGTGTCTTGCAACAAAAAATGCCGCATTGTCGGCATTTGTCAGAATATTTGTTAACATTACGGACATAAAGCCCACATTTTTCTCTTTTTTCGTTTCTGGATTCCCTATCCTTTTAACTATTTTGGTATCAACTACAGTGCCAATTACCATTTATAAGCCTTAAGGAACACAATTAAATCCATTATCCACCCGTCTCTGAATGGGAGGCTGCACTAGCTGAAGACCGAGTTCTTTGAGAAATTATCGCTTTCTTCAAGAAACACTTGGTCTGTAAACTGAGTTTTACATTTTATATATATAATGTATGCATTAATGGCCGCAAGGATTAGGAAATTCATAAACTAAACAAAAGGCCATCTTTTTGTTTATCTATTACATGCCTACTCATTTAACAGCTTGTTAAAACATCTATAAGTTGAAGACCCAAAGTCGGTCAAAATTGACCCACTGCAACAAATATGTGATAACTATCATATAACTAAAATCAAGTGGCGGAAAATATTCACATATTGTTGACAATACCAAAACAGGCAAAAATAAAATCCAGGAGAAAAAATTTAAGAGATTGAAGAAAAGAATCGCAAAAAAGTGGTTCGTGGGTCAAATTTGACCCAGGCTTGGGCACCCGAGGGTTAAGAAATAATCACATCAAACATTGCGTACATAACCTCAATTTTTCTTTTTGAACCGGTGGTCGCAAACGTTGAATTTGCTACCTCTAAATAAGTCGACATTTGCATGCTTCATGGCTGCTAGTGAAAAAATACATTCACATAGCATGAACATGACATACAACATATAAGCATACCATAGCACAGTCTATGTGACGAGGCTTTAAAGGATGTATAATAATAACAGACAACATACAAACTACCAAGAGATACATTAAAAATATGTAATAACGATCATCTAGATGAAAATACGTTAATAATGGCTTCACTTGTCGTAATTAAAACGATACTTGCTTAAAAAGGCAGACTGACTGTTATAGTAAAATATAATATCCGAATTTTTTACTGGATGATTAATTTTGGATAAATTACGGCTAAAAGAATCCAGATTTTTCAGCGGATAAATGTCAGGGATAAAATATAAGTGGGTCAAGCAGATTTCTTCATTTACCATTGATATTCTCCCATGGGATTGGCTGACCGCACTAGTCACTACGGTTAAGATAAAAGACGACCATCTCGTACGGTAAAGATGCTTATACGATTACGGTTACGGTCAACTATAAATGATACCATTGAAGTTCGTTGCTTTATCTTCCTACATTTACTGATACGATTACTGCATGTACGGTTACGTCAAACTATAAATCCAGCATTATTTTGTTATTAGCTGAATATGCCAGTGTCTCGATGAATGAAAAAATAATAACAGCCGGTAAATTAAACACAAAAATGAAACTATTACGAAAAGAATACAAAATTAGAATTCACCACTGACTGTTATATTAACAGTGATCAAAAAATTGTTTACCTAGCGTAAATAAAAAAAAAAAGGAAAATCACGGTCACCGTTACTTACTGCCACCAACAGTGAAAAACGGATTACGGTGAAATAATAATCACCGGCAGTGAAAGATCGCGCATTTCTAATTTTGAGTCAGATTTCAATAATTGTTTGGATTTCCTTCAGTCTTGACAATCTAGGAGTCTATGAAATTTAGAAATGTTCAATCAATAAAAATCATCTTCGAGTTGGTACTAAACTGGCGTTCGCGTTCCCAGATGTGAGTAGTAGACGATGATATTTCCTGCTGTCTAGTGTCAACTTGACGATGTTTTTCATTACACTTTAGAACATATAAGCAGAAATTTTACTTTGCGCACGTTACTAAAAACATTAAATGTTAATTGTTACATAGACTTTAGTCTTGGGGTCAAGGTAATGGCCAAGGCAATCCAGAAAAATCCACTGGTCCACCTAAACCCGCATCAGCTTCTAGTAAACTCATTATAACCGCCATAGCAGCTTCATCATTTCCTTCGGTGACAGGTTCATTATTCGGAGATCCTCGAACAGCGTCTTCCATTATTTCAATTATTCCTTCATCTGTATTTCCAGCTGAAAATGAATAAAATACATATACACTTCTTCAAATGCTTACCACAATTATAGTACCACTTATGAAGGATGATGAGTGATGACAAAATGACGAATAAGCGAATAAATCCGGTGATACGGTGTTAAGAAAGCTCTGAAGAACTCAACAAATATGGTTAAAGAATTCCGGAACCAAATTTTTGAAAAAAATAAATCTCAAAGTTGAAAAATTTACTTCGTAATTCTAATATGTTTTAATATAAATTTGAGCGACAGTCTAAAATCCCAATAAAAACTGTCAAAAATGACATTCGTCAACAATAGGTAAAAATGATTTTGTGGATCGTATTTTACAGCAAATTATTATTACATTACAATTAAATTAAATTATTAGTAACTAATTATTTCACTGTTGATTATACATGTAGTTCATTACAACAAATTAGAATTCCAAGTTAATTCTTCAACTTTTAGGTTCAATATTTTCAAAATTTTGGTGCTGGAATTTTTTTAACGACTTATTTCGAGTTCTTCAGAGCCTTCTTAACAACGTACAATTGAGTTTATTCATCATGTTTTCATCACCCTGTATTTAAAAGTAGCAAGTTTTCATACGATGGATATACCTTGTCTATGTTCATGAGTCGGGCCCGGATTTTAGGCCACAAAAAATGAGGAAAAAGGCACCTAAAATAGGCTTAAAAAACTTCAAATGAGGTTATAAAAATGCTGAAATAGGTTCAAATAGGTCGATACCAATCTGAAATCTTCAAAATTTCAAAGCAACTAAAACAATGTTTTTTTAGTCTTTATATTGTTTAACAGTTGTTCAGAATATTAATAAACATAATAAATATATTTTTTCTACTTTGCGTTAACAATGGCCTCATTGTTAAACCGAAACCAGTTTAATAATGGGATCAATTGTTAAACTGTATTTCAGGTGGCGTGCAAGAAGTGGGGTCCCCTTCTTCCATTTTTTGAGGCAAACTTAGGTTAGATTGTTAGTGTTCGGTGGTTAGATGTCAAACTTTGACAATGTGAAGTTAGCCACAACGCTACAACTAACCTTTCAAATTAAAAGGCCCTAAATTATAACCTTGAATTTTTATTAATTTTTTGTTTCCGATCAGATGCAAAGTAAAAAAAATAGTGTATTATACTCGTTTAATAAGACGCATTGTGGCACTTATTCCTTTGGAGCACTCCTCGCTGCGCTCGTCGTGCCCCAAACCCATGCGTGCCACAATAAGACGTCTTATTAAACTAGTATAATAATATACTATTTTATTTTATCCTAACCTGTAACCATACCGATAACACATTAACAACGAGTTACGTTAAAGCATACTTTACATTACTAGTACTGTTATGAATTTTCATAACGACACTAGTGTTGTTATGAATCATTTTTCTAAAAAAAAAACAAGTTAATTATAACCAAACTCTATTAAGAAACAGGCAAATTCATATTTATTAGTAATAACTTTTACAAAGAATAAACATACAATAAACATTTTATCGGAATGCTTCAGAATTCCCTAAATATAAATTGAAGGTGCATTGCTGCAAATTTCTAAATTTTGCACCCGCCAATGATTCTTTTTTAACTAATGATTTAGTTACAGTGACTGCTGGCTCACTATTCTCTGAAGTACCTCGCAAATCATTTCCCGAAGTACTCGCTAAACGATTTTCTGCAAAATTTTCTGTATTTGTTCCTGCAATATTTTTCAAACTACTTCCTGCATTTCTTTCCGAACTACTGCTCTTATTTCTTGCGATATTTTCTGAACTACACCCTTGAATCATTCTAGCGATTTTATTTTTCATTTCTATCGATTCCTCTACGTATCTTTCTGCTACGCTTGTGCTCTTCTATCCTCCATGACGTTTTAGTACGCTTATGTCAGCACCAGAATCAGCCAAAAACGTTGCTGAAGATCGTCGAAATGCATGACCAGTATACAAAGATGGTTGAGATAAATTTAAAAATATGGCCACCTTTTTTCCCATTTCACCCAACGTATTAATTCCTATTCTTTGCACAGTACACTTTCCTTTTCGACAGTGGCGGCTGGTGGGTCAAAATTTCGGGTCGGCCAAATATTTTGAGTCTACACCTTGGTGTTATATATTTTCGTAATGTATGGCCACTACTCGTTAACCACTGACATTTTACGTGCCAGGATGTACAAAACATCTCAAATGTTTCGACCTCGACTTGTTAAAATAATTTTTTTATAGGAAATTGACAATGCCAGTTTGATTCCAAATACTATTAATCCTTAATTCTACTTGTTCTGCTTTATCATTAATTGAGAACCACCGAAAAAATTATTTTTACTGGGTTCCGCGTCGACCGGCGGCTATACGGCTTGCCGACCCCGGACATCCTCAATTAAATAATAATAATTAAATAATGACATGCAGTTAAAAAATATAAAAAAAGCAATAATAAAAGTACCAACTGTTAACTATCTTCATTTACATTTATTTTTTTTTAAATGTATATGGCAAATTGTCAAATAAATTAATTGAATAATTATTGAATTAAAATTAAAATTATTTAAAACTTTAAATTCATTTCTGAAATATCTGAAAACGCTCAGATGCTAAAAATACAGAAAAAGGGCATTTATGTTGTAGCTAAGTTATGTACGAACAATAAAACTTTAGATAATATAATGTAATGTTTTTCGTTTATTATTCATACACAGGAAAATGTATTAAATCAACAATTATATTATTAAAAAAAAATAGTATGCACTGAAGAACATCGAAGCCGTTATTGTTTTGTAATTTTGTTAGCTATCTTAAATATTAAATATTAAAAACGAAATTCGCATTGCTGGGTACGGCGAAGGAACCGTAAGCTGCTTACGAAGTCGAAACATCGAGCATTATGCTTTCCTGGATACGGAGTGCCGAAATCTCGCCGGCAAAGCGTGTTTGTCAGCATTTAAAATTAGCAACAAATGCTTTATTTTGTACCTACAATATATTAAAATATATGTTTTAATATATATGTTCTATCCTAACGTACATTCAAACTTTATTTCTTTTTTTATTTTCTAATTTCAACGCTTACAAAGTATTTTAAAATGCTGGTACGGCGTGGCCGACCCTGCCGCCCCTGACCAGCCGCCCCTGCTTTTCGACAACTTATAAAAAAGTGGTTGTGACTAACATGAGAGGGTCTCATATTTCGATATTTTCTAATTATCTTCAAATAGTCAATTCCTTTCCCATCATCAATGACAGTGAATACCCTTCTGCAACCTGTCTTCGTAATTGGAATGGTTTTTATTATCGACGATCCTGCATCCACAATAGAATCAACTGCTAAAGAATATAATTCCTCCCGTCTACACCCACCAAAAATTCCAAATATTGTTGCTACCTGTAAATTTAATACATATAAAATATGTATAACTGCATCCTTAGTCATACCAACTTTTGTAGGTAAATAATCATCATCGCACGCATCTCTTAGGAAGGTATTTATTTGATCCCTGATAAACGTTTTAGCCTGTTTTGGAGTATATCTACTACTATTTCGTTTCATGAATGATTTGACTAATGCATATGCCGAAATATCTAGATTTTCGTTGGTCAGCAACATCCTTTTCAACATGGATATTTTTGTCCATACGGAAGATCCTTCATATTTCTTGGACTAAATGAATATTAAATTTAAGGGATTTGTAGTGCAACATACATTACCACTTACCAATTCAGAAACGTATGCTAAAATTACGTCTTCATCCACTTCGGTAACGTTGTTCGCCAATTTTTAAAAATTTCGTATTCTTTTTGATACCTATCGGCAGATTTATTGGGTACTAACTTCTTACTTGCTTCTTCCGCTTGTTCTTTTATGGTTTTGCTCATTTTAAATGGGCAAAATTCGCTTTGTTTTCAAAATTTAAAAATTTTGAAGTATAAATAAATAAGCGTTTGGATATCGGCACAGCCAGAGTAAACTTGCTTTGGTGCATTTTTTTAATTTTTAATATTAAATTAAATTGTGTTAGGATAAAATAAAACGTGTTACGATACGCGTAACGTTATCGGGTTTTTACATTACTCGGAAATTTTAAAGAACTCGGGGCTACCGCCCCTCGTTCTTCAAACATATTCCTCGTAATGTAAAAACCCTAATAACGTTACTTGTATCGTAAACTACTATTAGCGGTTTCTGTCTGTTAAATGCCTGTTTACATCCATAAAAGTTGGCTGGTAGAATAGTATTTAATACATCCATAAAAGTTGGCTGGTAGAATAGTATTTAGCATTACTAGCATGGTAAAAGACTTTTTACTGGCGGACAGAAGCCGCCTTCTGGAGCCAGTAAAAACCTATTACCTTGCGTGTATTGTTCAATATTTTATTTGTTTCTCACTTGTAAATAACTATTATTACTCCCTCTGTCCGAAAATATGGTATACATTTTACAAAATTATTATAATTAACGAATGATGACCAGCAAATTATAATCAAGTAATTTTGTTTGCAACTTGTATAATAATGGAACATCAAATAGTGGTCTGAGATCTACGTTCGTTTCTGGTAAAAAAGTCACCAAGAAAATTACTACAATTGACCCTTTTCCTGTAAGCAAAGTGAGTAGACATTATATAAATTCCAATGATACAGAGTGAGACAACATCGCGCAGGCGAAGTCAGATTTTTGAAGCGCCAAGTTAAAATTAACCAATGAGCGACAGATTACGCATGTATAGCTGGTTGCATTCTGTCAAAGCAGTTTGTTGTCACAGGCCTTTGCTCTGCTGCCGGAGTGCCGGATACGTGGTTTTGAAGATGCGTGCGCACGAAAAGTCACTATGGAAGTTTTACGATCTTACAGGAAAAGGGTCAATAACAACAAAATAAACCGTCACCCGCTGCATATAATTAACCAGCATGGCATCTTCTTCCATACCGGTTATTTTTGGCCGTCCAGATCCTACACGACGTTCGACGGTATTATGTTGGTTCCATTTTTTTTTTAATTTTAG